TCTCCCACCTTTCACATACACAGGACTGGGAGAAGCCAAATTCCTTTCCCAATTTGTCACACACATAGGTTTCCTTCATTCAAATCTTGAATGAAACTTCTGTTTCCATCTTTTCAGTCTCCAGAGCATGAGCTCTGGAGAAAAAAAAAGTGTCCTAGCTTCAAACTGAAGCACTGTATGTGTTACCTGAATGGCCTTCTATGGGTTACCTGACATCTTTAGTCCAGTTTACCTAAATAATAGAAGAAATAAGAGCTACAGTTTAGAATTATTGTAAGGATTAAATAATCTATGTGAATACCGTAAGGCTGGTTGCCTCGCTGGGAGCTCGGACACGCCCATCCCTCTCCCTGCCTGAAAATTACATCACCAAAATATGCCCATCATCTAGCTCCACCTCGGAAATCCCCTCTGCACTTGGCACTTAGCCCGCCCTTGGAAAGCCCCGCCAAAACCTGCCCAATAGCACATTGCCCCATCCAGAAATCCCGCCTACCTACCTATAGCAGCTTGCCACGTCCATGTCCTGTTTCTCTACAGCCAATCAAACGCCTTCACTCCCTATAAAACCCCGTGCCCAGAGGAGTTGGGCGTGACTTCTCTGCCCTCTTTCCTTGTGACCACAGAACCTTCCTCGGAGCCGAATAAATTGGCATTTAATCTTCTTGTGCTGGCCTGAGTTTCCTCATTTTTAACTCGGTGATAAACCTCGCAAGACAGTAACCCTTAAAAATACGTTAGCTGAGGTTGCTTAGAACACAGCAAGGGCTCGTAAGTGTCAGTCATTAAAGTGACTGAAACTCTCTGAGTCTGTTTTTCCATCTGTACTATGGTGTTGATGCTGTCTATTGGGTATTAGCAAAGATTTCTGTAAAGCTACTCATATTTATATTTAACCTGTAGCACCTTACTTTCCACATACATACTCATTAAAAAGTAGCTATCTCTCCCTTTCTGTGCTCCAAAAGCTATCCTCTCCCTACCTCAAGTTTCATTGGTGAATATCAGTAATTGATATCTGTGATGCTCAATAAATGCTTTAATTTCCCAAAACACAACTCAAACCTGCCCCTCACAATATCATGACTAAATTTCACAGAACCCACCCAAACAATTTTATTTACAGCATCTCCCCAAATGGGAAGGGAAGAGGAAAGTGGGGCCACTCCTGACAAAAATCAAGGGCCTCGTCTGTCCATTGCTGCCACTCTTGTGATTCCCTAGATGTTTCTTTACTGCTCAACTCCTTCAAGATAGGCTGTACAGGGCTGGGCACTGAAGGCATCACTTACTTATGAGCAGCAGGGTTCAGACTCTAGTGGGCAGTACCAGACATCGTTTCACATGTGCCCATTGTGCCCACTCCACACAGGCCCAGAGACTCCGCATCAGGTGATAAGGACCGTGGCTCAACAGGCTCATGAGGTAGGCAAGGTTCTGATCAGAGTTGTACAGTGCCTGTCATGCTCTGCCACCGTTAAATAAATTACACCTTTCTCATCTGTGTTTTTCTCTCTGTAGGACATCTTTCTTCCTGCACAGTCCAGTCTTGGAAATGTTTCTCTGCACTCTCTGTCTCAAATGTCTCAGTTTCATTTTTCTAACTACTGCCACCGACTTCTGGATTTGCCCTCCTGTTCCATGGAAATCACCTTCTCTAACATCAGCAATGGCCTCCTAACTGCCAAATCCAATGGATATTTCTTAGTCCACCTTCTTTTTAAATCTTTTTGTGGGATTTAACACTAGTAGCACAGTTGTGATTTTTTTGTCATTGGTCTTCTCAATCTACACCGCAGTCCTTGGGGGATTGCATGTTCTTTTACAATTTTTCCTGGCTCAGGCAAATGCTAACACCTCTCTTTCTGTTCTCATGTTTTCCTGGAGACTTAACTTCCCATTTCCCTGAGAGAACAGATATAGTGAGAAAGAATACTCACAAATTTTCACTTCCACATCTACCCACTTGTGTACATAGGTGGCAATATATTCTATCTGCTCTCCTGCTGCTGTAGATGGAATTACTAAATCCAATTATTTCACATAAGGTAGGTAGATTCCTTCTATACTTACCTATTCAAGAACAGTCTTCCTCTCTTTCCTGTACCATCAAACTTTTTTTTTTTTGAGACAGAGTTTCGCTCTTGTTACCCAGGCTGGAGTGCAATGGTGCGATCTCGGCTCACCGCAACCTCTGCCTCCCGAATTCAGGCAATTCTCCTGCCTCAGCCTCCCGAGTAGCTGGGATTACAGGCATGCGCCACCATGCCCAGCTAATTTTTGTATTTTTAGTAGAGACGGGGTTTCACCATGTTGACCAGGATGGTCTCAATCTCTTGACCTTGTGATCCACCCGCCTCGGCCTCCCAAAGTGCTGGGATTACAGGCTTGAGCCACCACACCCAGCCCAAAACTTTTTTATAGTAACTACTCAAAGAGTTGTTCATGTTCATTGACATGAATTTCTTTCCTCTCTTCCCTTAGACCTACTTTAATAAGCCTTTGCCCATATCACTCTAAAGTTTGAAACCATTCTTTTTAGGGTAACCAAAAAAATCTCTGTGTTGCTGGATGCTATGGTCATTTTTCAGTAATTATTCTTGCCTGACAGTCATATTTGAGTAATTCTTGTGTTTGATGTACTTGGTCGTCTCCTCTTTCTTGAAACACTTCCCCTTATATTCCTAGACGTCACACATTTTAAAATTAACTCCTCTCTCAAAGACCTTTGTTTCTCACTTTCCTTTGTTCATTCCCTCTCATCTCTCAGGTGTCTTCACTTTGGAGCTCTTATCTTTCTATTTTTTCTCATTTCCTTGGTGTTTTTGCCCAGTTGCATGGCTTTAAATACCACGTATACATTGATGAGATGAGTTCCAAATTTGTATTTCTAGTCTAGACTCTTCACTGAATAACTGACTTTTGTAGTCAAAACTATGAGACATTTCCTCTACAATGCCTTAGAGATAATGAACTGATCATTTTCTCCCACAAACCTGTCTTCCGTGTTTTCAAACAAACAGAAGGCAAATCCACATTTCCAGGTGCTCTGACAAAAAACCTTACAGATATCCTTGACCTCTCTCTCGACAAAAGTCAATTGCTATCAAATCCTGTTGGCGTTACCTTCAAAATATACCCAGAATCAGACTCCTTGTCACCATTTTCATTGCTACCAATCTGCAAATTGCTGGCATTGCAATAGCATTCTAAGCAGATTCATTGTTCCTATCCTGGTTCCCTACTCCCCCCACCCTCTGCCTTGTTTTTTTTTTCTCTATTCTTGACACAGCAGCCATATTGATTGTTTTAAAAATCAAGACAGGTTATATAACATTATACAGAGGAAGAAGCATGTACAGAGAAGGTCTGTGATTTTCCTAAAGTCAGTTTCTGATTAACAAAGATGTAGGGACCAGAACTCTTGGATTTCAGAGTTTGTGATCTTGGCTCTCTGCTGCTCCATAGTCAGAATCAATCGATTCCTTTGAAGCAAGTGAATAGAAAGTGTGTCTTGTGTTGGCCTTACACAGGGAAAGGGACAAATTATGTTCCAACTCTTCAGGAATTTAGAATCTCAGAAAAAAAATCACATGAAGATATTACCTATTAATATATTTATAATGAAAGCAAATTGAATGTTTCTCTGCTGCTGAGGACCATTGTTAGCACATGAGAATAAAGTAAAATAACATGGAGTGAGATGGAAGAGAGAAAATGGAGTTTCTTCAGAGCTCAGAGGGAAAAAATTATTTTTTGTTTTTTTGAATCTTACATATACAGGAAAATTTTGTGTGTGTGTGTGTGTGTGTGTGTGTGTGTGTGTGTGTGTTTAAGTATTTTATAAGAGAGACACACATGGTGGGGCAGAGTGAAATCTGGTTCTGGAGATGTGCTATGGAATTGGGGAGAACTTGGCAGGGTAACTCTTCAGGGCCTTACCAGTGCTGAATTACTTAAAATTGAATTCAGTCTCCCTCAGCACAAATTGAAACAGCTAGACTTGGGGGATAAAGGAACAAGTTTACCTAATAGGTCAAGATTCTGAAGTCAGGCTTAGTGCTAACTCTTCTTTGCAGTTTGGCAATTGCACTGATTTGTGTGCCAAACTGTGAACTCACTTCTCAAAGTGGTCCAGGAGAAGGACTGTTTAAGGCTCTAGCAGGGTCAGATTCATGCAACAGTCTACATGATTTACAGATGCTGTAGGGCTGGTGAAATCTATCTATACTCAAAAGCTGAATTCACTTTTAGTGCATAGGTAAAACCATATTTTATGCCTTTTTAGGGAAAGATGATGCTGAACACTGATAAGTGGTATCAGGGAAGTTTCACCTTGGGAAGTCTTGTCTTTCTGTGTTAGTCATTACATTGCTTGACTTCAAACTTCAGTAACAACTGATTGACATTAATCCATCACTATTTTCAGTGGAAACTGCCTTACAAAATTTTAAGGGCTGCCCATATCTTCTAATCTGGACCTGGCTTTTGAGACCCCCTCAAAATGTAATCACCCCCAGTTTCCTCAAGCTCTTTCAGTAATCCTCTTTGCTATATCCTTTCCACACCATTGTTTGATACCTCCTTCTCTTCCAATCTGTTCCACCCCACTGAGCTCCTCTGGGTTAAGACATGACTGTCTCTGGCCTGTGACAGCTCCTTGTGCATGAATTCACCTCCACAGCTGAACTAGGAGCTCTCCATGGTCACAGCTGACACTTACTCTCTTGCCTTACTCATGAACTTGTGATACTTTTTCCTGTAATTGCTTTTCTAGATAAAAATACTCTGTCCTGATTCTTGTGGATGCGACTATAACTGAACAGCCTCAATGCAATGTAAATAAACAAGAATCAAATTGCTGAATACTGACGGTGTGCCAGACGCTGTGCTAAACATACATTTTCATTACCCAACATATTATCATAATGAAGACATTATTCATTAAATCAACCAAGACTATAATACATGCCAGCATAAACTCTAACGCATTTCCCATAATATTTTATTGCGTGCTTATTATGTGCAAGGCACAGATGAAATGCCTACTCTGATGAAGTGTCAGAATGGTTATCAATCAATCAATTCAAAAGCAAATAAACACCGCAGATTAAGTCATGCAGGTAACAAAACCTAGCATACCTTTATAAATTTAAGATTTATAAACCAAATAATCCTAACCCTAACCCTAACCCTATTCCTAAAGACCAGGAATTGACTTACTCCTTAGTAAGTCATAGACACTTTTGAGACAAGTGTGAGAACATTATCACCTTTCTGGGGTATTCAGAGTCCCCCAAGGAGCTTGAGAAAAATAGTATGTTCAATGTGAACATGGATAGCTCCAATTCATCTGGCTATTCCTCTTCCTTCCAGAGCTTCCTGCCATGTAAAATCATTCCGTTCACATCATCAATGTGTGTCCATGTAAATGTATCTAAACAGCTATTCTATACATTTTTAAAAAAATCTCCAACTTCTGCTCAGAATTCATATTGAGGTCTTTCCCAGGTGAAGCAGTTTTAGAAGTCGACTCCGAATCTCCTTGGTTCTAGCTCCATAGATAATAGGATTGAGTACAGGAGGCACCAGCACATAGAGATTAGCCAGAAAGATGTGCACATGCTTGGGGACTTGGTGGTGACCAAAGCGGTGGGTAAGGAAGGAGAAGAAGGCAGGGATGTAGAAAACCAGGATGACACCAATGTGGGAGCCACAGGTACTCAGAGCCTTGTGCTGGGCATCATGAGACGGCAGATGAAAGATCGCATGGAGGATAAAGCCATAGGAGACGGCAATGAGAATAGAATCCAGTCCCATGGCCAGCAGAGCCACAGTCAGCCCATAGACAACATTGACAGTGATATTGGCACAGGCGAGTCGGGCAATGCCCATGTGCTCACAGTATGTGTGTGTCATGACACGGTGACCACAGTAGGGGAGTCGCCTCAGCAAGAAGATGAAGGGAGAGACAATCGCCATGCTACGGAATATCCCAACAAAGCCAATTCTGCCTATGACAGCATGATTGAGAATGGCCGTGTACCTTAATGGGTTACAGATAGCCACATATCTATCAAAGGCCATGGCAAGTAGAATCGAGGACTCTAGAGCATAGATAGAATGGACACAGAACATCTGGGCCAGGCATCCACCAAAGGAAATCTCACCAGCATGAAGCCACAAAATGGCCAGAGTCTTGGGCACAGTGGTAGAACTAAGAGCCAGGTCCGTGAGTGAGAGAAGGCAGAGGAAGAGGTACATGGGCGCATGAAGAGCATTGTCCCTGACAATGATCAGGATGAGGGCAGCATTTCCAGTCAATGCTACAAGATACATGACACAAAAAGGGATGGCAATCCAGAAGTGGGCAGCCTCTAGCCCTGGGATCCCTGTCAAGAAGAAGGTGTCTGGAAGACGGTTATCACTGAGATTGGAATCCGACATTCTTCCTAGCAAACGAAGGGCTCTTTCTGAGTAGTATTGTTATGTTTGCCCCGTAACAACAGATATTTGGTTTATATAAAACAAAGATCTTTCTGTGAAATAATGTTTTTTAGACTCAGAAAAACTATTTATTGTTTTTTACTTGTATAAGCATCTGAAATGACTCTACCACACATAATTCATTTTTTAAAACTTCTACTAATTTCTATGTTGAACAACGATGATTTGAGTTCTATATCCAAAGCACCAAGATAAGTATTTATTAATCTTCTTAAACTGATCTTTCCAGACTTCTCTCCCTCCACATCCTGTACATCATTTATTGACCTCTAATCCGGGATGTTTCTTACCTCTCATTCATGCCTTTTCTCTTACCTAGGGAGTCTCATTTCTTTACTTTCCTCTTCTCTATTAAGTTTTAATACAAGTTTCCCCACTTCCCAGAAGCCTTCCCTTTCTAAATCGGTCCTTGGTAATCTCTAATTATGTATTTTTCCTACTTCCAGTATCTTACAAAATTCTACTGGGCTAGGACTGTGTCTTTGTGGAACTGTAACCTCTATACTGCCTATGACTGAATCTGTACCTAGACATTTTGAAAACTTCAGCGAAGACTGAATTCTGATCCTTCTTAGTGACATGCCATTGATGTTTTGAGTTAATGATAAAATGATGCGTTAACTTTCTTTTCTGTATTTGTTATTTACCAAATGTACACCAAATCACTTCTGTATATACATCATCTGAAGTGCCTATGAAGAGGCAGGGCAACTTGAATATGCTTACATAGTATGACTAAATACGTACAGTGATTTGAGCATTCACGTGGATATACTAGAAGGAAGTATGAGATAAATCAGATATGCTTGTTGAGGAGACTGCCCTCTTTGCTGCTCACAGCCTTTGCACTTGATGTCCCTCTGTCTGAAATGCTCTCCCCTTCTGACATCTGCATGACTGTCTCTTTTGACTCAAGTCTTTGCTCAAATGCTACCTTCCCAGCAAGGATTTCCCTGGATTCCTGTTATAGGCTGAATTGTGTTGGTTTCCACGCGCCCAATTCACAAAGCGGCTATTGTGCTGGAGGACTAGAAGCCAGGGTGCAAGTAGCATAGGCAAGATAGGCTAGATCCTTAGGCCACAGAAGGGACTTGACTTTCACTCTGAGTTGCGGAGGGAATCTTTAAGGGAGAAATCACCTTGCTTGTGATCTGCAAGTTCAGGCTCAAATTCATTGCTCAGCCCAAGCAGAGTCCATCAGGTGCTTATGCTGACTGCCCCAGGGATACAAGACTGAAGAGCTGGAGAAACAATAACATATTTTCACAGAAAAGATACATCTATTTCTAGAGCTCTCACAATTAATAACTTCTAAACATTTTCTCAATTCTAGATATTATTGCTGTGAATCTCCTTTTTGATGCACTTAGGAAGATATTTTTATGTCATATGTGCTTTGATAAAATTTTGTAGGATTTGTGTACTGTGCATTCTTTTATCCTTTTTCTTTTGCTGGGCTCAGAGTGAAGAAGAAAACCGCAGAGATCTATCTTCCATCACCTTTGGTGGTTGGCTACAATGGGAAATCTGCTTCTGACTTCTTTTTTTCAAATCACAGTTAGAATACCATATTCTTTGCAAGTTATGCAGATGATGTACTTTTCACTGCCAGAGAGAGAGAGTAGCCGATCTGTATAATGCCAATTTGTCAAATCTGAAAATGCTAAAATCAACCAAAACTTACAAAGCTATGAAGAATGTTGATACTGTGTAACATCTATTGGAGAATACAAAACTCTTTAAAAGGCCATGTTTATTCTCACATTGTCCATAAGAATATTTTAAAATAATACATACGTAATGTTTATTTAGCCAGAGGCAAAATGGGACTGTGGTAATACCACTGGGTTTGTTGTACAAAGACGGGGGCCAAAGCCCGGGTTTGCGGCTTCCTGGCTTTGTGTCCTGGGGCAGGTCATTTAAGCTCTCCCAACGGTGAACTGAAGAAAACAAGTCCTCCTCCGCTTCTTACAGAAGTATTCGGAAGATCAAGTAAAGAATGTCTTTTTGAAGAACTGTATAAAATCAGATATTATCATAATCTATTGGGCTGAGTTTTTTTAATGACGACACTAGATGGTTTTGGCCTCAGTATTGGCACAGACCTGTGATAGTAGGGGAAAGAAGCTTGGATGACAGAGTTTAGGAGCTGGAGTCACTAATATCTTCTCCACTTTCTGGCCTATTCTTGCCTTCTATGGAAGATTTAAAATGATTGTTGTAAGATACTTGCTACTCTGTGATTATCTAAGGAAGTGTGGACCAGAAAGACTGGGGCAAGAGCAGGTTCCATTTATTTCCCTTTAGAAAATAGTGGGAAAAGGATATTGAGCTTGAGTATCATTTAGGTTCACAATGCAGGCACCCTTCCTAACTTGTCACAGGTCCTGTGTCTGCATCCCCATCTGAGACCTAGATGTCAATAACTTAGGTGTGAGTTCATTCACTGAGCATATTGTTGAGGAATCTGATTTCAAGAACTTACCTGCATAGGAGACATGCTTTGCAGGTGCAGCATGCTGTGGTTGGACCTCAGTGGAATGAGGGTGAAGCTGTGTGGGAGAGAGTGTGGTGGTACACTGGCTTTGGCAGGAGGTGTGTATCTGGATGCAAAGTTTTGTTTAGGGAAGTGAAAGCTGTGTTTCTCTGCAGGTTCAAGGGAGTGTGGTATGAGAGAGTGGAGGGTCTGAATGTATAATTCGTGTTGAAGTACCTTATCCTTTCTCAGTTTCCTGGGCTTACTGAATGTCTTCAGCTCTGCTCTGCCTTTTAGCCTCCTCTAGTAAAGGGGATTGGTAAATGGGGTTATTTATGGACTCTCTCTGTGATGCACAGGTGTGAAAACCCAGGTGGCATCCTCTAAGGATTTGATCTGTGATCCACCTGTTGAGGGAAAGAGAAGAAGCAGTTGATGATTGAGAAATAAATGAGCAAAGAAAAATTTCCAGTGACTTTTCAAGGAAACTTGAAATCAAACATCTAGCCTGTCTTTTCCTTTATTGTGAACTCTTACTTTTTCACTTCTTTCCTTGTCTTCTTTTTGTCTTCTCTTTACTTCTCTGAGTCTCCTTAAATTTCCAGTTATTGTGAGTTCACTACAATTCTGTGCTCATGGGATGTTGGGGAAGATTTATGTGAATAGTGCATGAATAGTGAATAGTGCAATAGTGAGTAGTGAACATACATATACATACTTATGCTATTGTATTTCACTTACAAATTCATGTTGTAAGAGAAAAAGAAATTTGTGATGATGATAGTAATTACTAACCAAAACTTAGGACCCTTCTGAACATGCCTACTGCAACTGCCTTGGTGTGTACCACTGAAGGCAGTCCTTTCAGAGAATGACATCAGTGCTCTAGCCAGAGCCCGTCATATCCCATGACATCACCCATTCATCAAGTCCGTGCACCAAGGGTCACATCCAGAAAAGTATCCTCTCAGGATTAAGTACTTCTCTTCCTTAAGAGTACTGCTCTCTCTTCTCTTCTCAAATGAATTTAAAACCAGTAGACTTAAAAAATTGTATGTGGAAATTCCCTAAGGAATTTTCAAAACATTACATGCTGCTTGAAAATTTTTAAGTTGGAATATAAAAATTATAGTTAAATGTAGAACAGGATGTAATTTTTGGTGTATTATAAATATTGACATTTTAAAATAAAATTCTCATGTCTTGATTTTAAATGTAACCTATAAAAACTTTCTACTCTAGCAATTTCTAACCTGCCATTGTTCATTAAAAACACATGAACAAGTTTTTCTTAACTGTCAGAAATTTAATATTATTGCTTTATCTCACAGTTGGTTCATTACCTCATATAATTTTCCCCTTAAATATATCATTATAGTCACTCTCACTTATAAATAATATGTATATAATTGGAATTATTTGTTTTGTTTCCTATTAATATAGGCTCAACATGTTAAAATGTTTTATTATTGGAATTATTGTAAGGATTCATTAATGAAAACTATATAAAAATCTTTATGGTTTATAAATTATTGAACATAGGTCTAAGGTTTTTGTAAATACATATCTTAATGGCATTGATAGGATTACTTAATGTGCCCATAAGACAATATTGATGGAATGAGACAGGTTTTACAATCAGTCATTCTTACGTATAAAAATTTAAACTCTGAGAACATGTATTTACATAAATAACTTAGTTTGGAAATGGAAAACTTTCATTTATGCAACGTAGGAATTACAGCATAATTGAGAGTAACTGCTGCAATCAGCAACAGTCTTCAGAAAGGAGGTTCTGGTCCTGTGAAATGCAGAGAAGGGTACACAGCTGGGACCCAGAGCTTTGGTGAGAGATCTCAGCCAGGCGGTGCTCGTATGTCAGGGACATGATGAGGTTGGTTAAACGTAAGGGAGAAATAGAAAACGCAAAGTGCAACCAACTGCTTCTATTAGATCAATGGCTGTTGCCAAGGACAAAACAGGTACTTGCATGACATTGACAGAAATAAAACGTGAACAGGAAAAGCAAATCTCTTTTTTTCTTTCATAATTGACATTTTATTGGTTGAGGATCAGTACAGATATTTCAATTTGTACACAATTCTTAACATACATACATACTGAAAATCTAAAAAGCCATGCATTGTAATTCTTTCTTAAAGTTATGCCAGCAACTTTCCAACTTAAAATTTGGAAGCAAATTGTCCTTAACAGGCTATCAAGTACCAGTATCTTCACATGTTGATAAGCTGTTACCTATGTCCCACCGATTCACAACTGAATAGCATATACACTACACATTCAAATTTTTAATCTTCCACAGCACAATAATAAAGTTAGTAAGAAAACAGGACTACCACACCAAAGATGTCACAAAGTGCACACAATTCTGACAGAGAGAGCCGTGGTCAAAGAGGGGTTGTCTTTAGAAAACAATTCTGCTAAAAAACAACATGAGAATAGAAATAATTTAAAATGTTCAAGACATTAAATGCAGGACTGACTCCGTATTTTTATTTAATATGGTTTGTATTATAGGATATAAAAACTAACCCCCCATCTACAGAATGTTAAGCTGACACCAAAGATAGTCAAAGCCTTCCATCCTGCACTATTTTCTGGTTGTACCAAAAAATAACCAGTGAATAATTTCACTTCTTAAATAAAGCATTTTCACTTAAAAAATGGAATGAGGTGGGTTCCCTCCTTCTTAAAAATGTTTCTAGAGCTACTGAAAAAACTTGCATTTACAAAGTAGTTGATACAAATATTCCTCTGGATTGTACAAGAAGAGGGACAGGGACCACTGATAAGACATGGTGTATGGTATTAATCAGACTTGGCTTCTTTCTCTCCTGCTTCCTCAGAGGCTGGACTCTCCTCAGAGAGAAAATTCTTCTTTAATAACTTTGACTTATTTTACTTTAGTTCAAAACTGAGATAAGCAAAACTATCCCCACTGGCTTATCCTTCATAATATATTTAAGTTCAGAAATTTCAAACATTGCCAAAATACTTTGATCTAAGGCAATACATTGTTCTTAAAATAAATAAAGGAAAGACAGGGAAAGCAGGCCTCAGGCAAGTATATGGTAATTTTATTAATCATTAAATAGGCTTGTTCTAGGAATTGGAATTGTTCCTTTGCTTATTGACTAGAAGGGGGAATACACTAGATGAGAAAAGTAAGCTACAAGAAGTTTATGGATTTCTTTAAATCACAGATTTTCTACTACTGTGTTTGCAATTATACTTTTAATAAAGTAAGAATAATAAAAAACTGATATTTTTCACAAGAGATGATATATCTGGCAGTTTAGGCTTTCTTCTTTGTTCATAGTAGTGCTTTGATTTCTAACCTGGATAAGTATCACCAGTCCCTAATCTATTGGTACTGTTGAATACTACATTAGCTGGCTAGGGCTGCCATAACAAAATATCACAGGCTGGGTAGCCTAAACAACAGAAATTTGCTTCTCACAGTTTTGGAGGCTTGCAGTCCCAAGTCAAGTTTTGGCAGGGTAGGGTTTCCTGGCTTACAGAAGGCTACTTTTTTCTCACACAGCATTTCCTTTGGGGAAGTGTAAGGAGTGCAGTCTCTGGTGCCTCTTCATATAAGAACACTAATTTTACAAAGCTAAGTTCCTACCCTTATGACTTCACTTCATTTAAATTACTTTTAAAAACTCTATTTCCAAATACAACCAAATTTGGTGACTACCTAAATGAATGCAGGGGATAATGAGAGAAATACATGCAGAATGAAGCCCAAACTTTTTTGTGGTTGTTTAATGGACTATAAAAATCATGCCATTCATTGAGAAAAGGAAACTAGA